GGCAGATAGAAAGCCAAGACATATAACTGACAAAGCAAAGCAGGAGACACCAACAAATCTACTTTTGGTGGCTGCAGCCAGGTACCAACACACTCCATAAAAGGTTCTTCACTTGCAAATATCTTATCTGATGATTTTATTTTCCCCTCTATTTCCTGAACCTGAACTAAGGGAATGAGTTCCTATAAAGATTCCAGCCAACTTACATTGGCTTCCGTACTGCATAAACACAAACAATCACTAAATAGCTACAATTTTACATTCAACCATTAAAAAGTATGCAATAAAAGCTAGATACAACTTTAGCTTCAAGAGACAAGCAATTCAGCAACTGCAAGCAGAAAAGTAAGTCTTAAATATTCTTGCTTCTATAAAACACAAAGCAGCAGTGTCAACAATTTTGGTTCCAAATCAACAGCCAAGTGCTGTATAATAAGATAATCTAACACATACTCGATTTATATGTTTATTTTCTAACTAAATTCATGTCTAAAATTTTACTATTATTAGACATGAAAAAGACATTACTTGTACTGCCGGCATGAGATCCTCACCTCATAATAACTGCAGAGTTGAAATTTATTTTTCAATCTTTTTGGTACTTAGAGGTTGCAAGATTCAATAGTATCAGTATTCAACCAGTTAATTCCTCATTAAAAACTGAAATAGAGAACCTGCCATGCCATCTCAAAATTGGAAAGGAGGAGGAAAAAAACAATAATGTTGATAAACACTAAACTGGTAATGTACAAGAGTGAGAGCTTGAAGCATGCATACCTCCTTGAGATCACCTTTTCGTGCTCCAATGTGAAGCAGAGTCCAACCCCTGTCATCCCTACCATCTCCCAATCTCATAGACCGTTTTCTGGACAAGGTTCTCCGTAACGGCTGCTCTTGGGGCATATCTTACCGATTCTTCGAACAATCACCGATACCCAGATTCTAAAATCTCAACAAAAACCCAAAGACAAACAAGGAAAAAAAAAAAAACAGAAGCCCGCTTAACTTTCACCAGGATTGATAAAGCACCCAATTACATGTTCTTTGAAACTCGAATTTCACCGCGATTGACGAACGATAACAAATTCCTGCAGAAGAATCTGTAAACCAGAGTCCCAGGAAGAAAAACAACAACGACAACGGGGACGGGCGATTTACATGATAGATATTGAAGGTAGAAGAGAGCGAAAGAAGGGAATTAGCGAGAAGCAACGGAGTGATGGGCAATACAATAGGGAGCAAACGGATTCAAACCAGGGCCGAAGACACGAAGATTTTGGGAAATTCCAAGGCAAGACATAAAGGATGAAGAAGATATGACCATAATTGATGGAAAAATAACCCTAGAACACGAAATTGATCGATTGAAAGAGCAAGGAATTAGACGAATCCTAGATGGAATTGGAGTGAGCTTGGAGGGAACATAAATGGAGCTGCACCCACACAAGGAGACACGGAACCCAATTGAAGAAGCTCAAGCTCTAAAATGGAAGTTCCGAACCCTAAATTGAGAGACTACAGAACGATATATTTCTACTTTCTAGACTCCTCACAGAGAAGGCAAAAGGTGCAGATCACCCCCTAAACTCAACAACTGGTGGCAAATCACCCCCTCAACCCACTTCACGCGCAAATCAACCCCTCAACTCACTTGTAGTGGCAAATCAGCCCCTCTCTTAACCCTTCCGTTAACATTTAACAGTTTGCTCATCAATCCTTCCTCTGTGTCTGACATGGCCTTCTTTTTGCTGAGATGGATGCTGAGGTGGAGGCATGGCTGGACAAATACCTCAAAATCAGCAAATTATACAAATTACTTTTATACCCTTAAGTTGTTTAAGGAATAAAATTGGGGATTTGGGGATTTTGGGATTTAGGGATCAGCTTCTATCATCTTTGTCTTCTTCCCTTCTTCGTCTTTGTTTAGCAAGATCTGCAATTCATAGAGCATGGGGTTTTTCGTCAAGCTTTGAATCGTCTGTCAAATTACCATATTTTGAGGATATCTAGGCTTTTATTTTGTTTGGCAGCTTCTATCATCTTCTTCCCCTCTTCGTCTTTTAAAAATTGAACCTTTTTT